ATTTATGAGGGGTATTGCCCACCTAGGAAACAGTTTTTATAAAATAAGTATTGATTAGTAAATTTTCACCTCTGTATTCAAGAGACTCTAAAAATGAATTCTGCTCCAGAAATGTGTTTTTTTTTAATAATTAAAAATGTATCTTCTCGCCTGGCTGGTATGGCTATGTGGTTGAGTGGCAACCCATGAACCAGGAAGTCATGATTTGATTCCTGGTCAAGGTACATGCTCAGACTGTGGGTTCCATCCCCAGTAGGGGGCATGCAGGAGGCAGCCGATTGATGATTTTTCTCATCATTGATATTTCTCTCTCTCTCCCTTCCTGTCTGAAATCAATTAAAAAATTTTTTTAAAATGTATCTTCTTTGAAAATATATACACACAGAAAATACTCTAATGAAATCTTTCCTTCCTAGTCACTTAACAGATATTTATTTACTGTTTTGCTAGGTGCTATTTCTGGAGCTGGGAATATAGTGATGACTTAAACAATACTCCTTGTCCTTATAATGCTCATAGCCTGGTTTTGGAGACCTCTTATTTTCACTCTGAAAGGTTTGTTAGAACTCAACTATAAAACCATCTAGTCCCAATGGGGGAAAAAAAGAGGACACCTGTTAATAGTTTCAACAATAAAGATAAATAAACACATCTAGTCCTAATGCCTAGATGGGGGCAAATCCTTGGTCTTCCTGAGCTATTCACCATTTCTTGCACATTTCAGAAATATGTTTTCTAACTTATTGATATAAAGTTGTACATATTTTCTTAAAATGAAAAAAAGCTCCTGTTCCTAACTTTTAAACCACATTTACTATACTTACTAGAGGCCCGGTGCACAAAAATTTGTGCACTCAGTGGGGGATGTCCCTCAGCCCCGCCTGTTTCCTCTCGCAGTCTGGGACCCCTCAGGGGATGACCACCTGCTGGCTTAGGCCCGCTCCCCAGGGGACTGGGCCTAAGCTGGCAATCAGACATCCCTCTGGCAGCCCGGGAACCCTTAGGGGATAGCCACTTGCCAGCAGGGAGCAAGCCTAAGCTGCAGTCGGACATCCTTAGTGCTGCTGAGGTGGGAGAGGCTCCCGCCACCACTGCTGTGCTGGCAGCCATTAGCCTGGCTTGTGGCTGAGCAGAGCTCTCCCTGTTGGAGCGCACTGACCACCAGGGGGCGTCTCCTGCATTGAGCGTCTACCCCCTGGTGGTCAGTGTGTGTCATAGTGACCAGTGATTCCCAGTTGTTCTGCTGTTAGGGTCAATTTGCATATTTCCCTTTCATTATATAGGATCCTCCATAGCCGAGGCAACCAAGCCTCCTCTTTGCTCCAGCTCCATGGCTGCTGGCTGCCGTCTTGGTTGGGTTAATTTGCATATAGGCGCTCTGGGTGGTGGGTATGGCTTAAGGCATAGCAAAGGTATGGTCAATTTGCATATTTGTCTTTTATTAGTATAAATTGATATATTTGATCTATGTATTTCTGCCTTTTTAAAAAAACTTTCCTGACTTTTGCTGTATTAAAGTCTTTGCTCCCTTTTTCTTAAAGTCACAGTTTGGAAGTCCTATATCCTGGTATTGAGAAATAGAGTATTACCTATAATAACCCTCCCCCTCACATAAGACCTTTAGAAAATTTTCTCTTCAGCCTTCTGGAAAATTTAAAAGGAATTTATGACTTCACTAGAGGCCTAGTGCATGACGTTAGTGCAATGGGGGGAGGAGAATGGGGGGGCGGGCCTCAGCCTGGCCTGCACCCTTTAGCAGTCTGGGAGGTCCTCAAAGGGAGCGGACCTAAGCCATGAGCCTAGCTTGTGGCTGAGCAGCAGTCCCCCTGTGGGAGCGCACTAACCACCGGGGGGCAGCTCTTGTGTTGAGCATCTGCCCCCTGGTGGTCAGTGTGCATCATAGCGACCTGTTGTTCTGCCATTGGGTCAATTTACATATTACCCTTTTATTATATAGGACTAGGGGCCCGGTGTACGAAATTCGTGCACTGCGTGGGTGTGGGGGGGTGTCCCTCAGCCCAGCCTACCCCCTCTCACATACTGGGAGCCCTCAGGCGTTGACCCCCATCACCCTCCAATCACAGGATCGGCCCCTTGCCCGGAGGCATCCAGCCTGGGCAGCAGGGACCCGCAGCTGCAGCGGCCCCGCGATTGTGGGCTCCACTTTAGGCCCAGGCAAGGGACCCCTAGTTCCCGGGACTGCCAGCTTCGACCCTGCCCAGTTCCCATCACTGGCTCCACCCCTACTTCCTGCTATCACTGGCCAGGGCGACAAAGGCGCCCAATTCTCCGATCATGCCTGGGGAGCAGGCCCCCAGGGCCGCCTTTGCCCTGCCCCCCGGCTCTTAGCTCCCCCCTGGGTTTCCGATCACTGTCAGTGGCAGGGGGCTTCTTCCTGCTTTCCCTTTCGCCTCCCTGCATTGTGCCTATATATGCAAATTAACCACCATCTGAGTTGGCAGTTAATTTGCATATAGCCCTGATTAGCCAATGAAAAGGGTAGCATCATATGCCAATTACCATTTTTCTCTTTTATTAGTGTAGATAGGTTTTCACTCTGGTCCACCTCAGGTAAAGAATAATGAAATGTTTTCTGCTTACCATCAGCCTTTGGTGGTAAAAATACTTCATCATAAATTTACATTCGTAAATTTTTTCATTAGGTGCTTGCTGTTTTTAATTAGAAATGGGGCTTACTGACACTCTCAGAACTACGAGCTTCTAACTTTGGCTTTTACTAGTAATCTTGCTAGCAGAACAATGAATAAAAGACTTTAGGCATAGATTTGCACTGTGAGTTTTAATTGAAAATATTAGAACAGCTTAGTAATGAATTATAAAACTTTGATAATTAAGTTGTACTACCATTTATGAAGCAAATTATTACTTTTGTAGACCTGAAAGAAACTTTGCATACTTGTATTTTCTGTTCTCCATTTCAGAGAAACTATGAAGAGGTCTAAAATATGTACAAGTCAAAGCCCAACTGAGAAGTGAAATATAAAGAGAAAAAAAATCTATAACAGCTGTACCGTAGGAGCACAGGTGGTTTGTAGCTCGTGTTTTGGGTGTGAAAATTTAGCTCATCTCACAGGATACAAAAGCAGGTGCAATAATAGAGCTGAGTCATGTAAACCCCCAATCAATTATTTTTAGCATGCCTTTTAACTTTCCTTTCCCCTGGTTTCTTGTCTTCTGTGCCCGAGTCTTGAACTGGTAACCACTTGAGGGGGTGCCGGCGATAAATGGGCCATGGAGGAAGTGTCAGCTGAGCCAGAACAGAGAAAATGAATCAGTTGTAGCCACTAAAGAGCATTATGTATAATGCCTGGTTCCCAAATGACTCCTACACTAAAGGTAAAACCAACAACCAAATGACATTCGTATGAAAACCATGCCACTGCTCAGACAAGATACTTGAAGTGATGCAAGCCTCACTGTTTACACATACGGCTTTAAGGGCCAAAATAAAGGAGGGGAGGGAGCAGTGTGAAGATCATAAAAAATACTTGGCCCCGCTGGTGTGGCTCAGCGGCTGAACGACAGACAACCCAGGACCAAGAGGTTACCGGTTTGCAGGCTCGATCCCCAGTGTGGGCGTAGCCGATTGATGATGATTCTCTCTCTCTATACCTCTCCCTCCCTCCCTAAAAAATCAATTTAAAAATATTTTTTAAAAATTCCTGCTAGCTTTAACTTTCAGATTATTGCTTGGAGCAGCTGCCAAAATAAATGAGGTATATCCTTTTATGCAGCTTTCCTCATCCGACCCTATAGCAAGGGGAAACATTCAGGGAAAAGTTGGCGCTGGTTTTCTCTAATAGGTCCAACCAAAACAACCCGCTTCAGACAACACAGTTTGCCACTAATATTCAAACACCCACAGATTTCTTACCAAACACGAAAAAACAAATCCAGCCATAACTATATAGACAGTCCACCCGAACTGTTCAGCCACGTACCCGTAGATAAATCCAACTATCTAGAGACAAAGTATATTGAATACAGTCAGTCTGGGGGGAAGAAGAAGACACACACACACAAACCCAAACAAACAAAAGATTATGCAAAAGTCAATACTTACTGCTGAAAAAAGAATAATTCCCTGAAACATCTGCTCAGCTAGCTTCTGGCCCTTGTAATCCTAGAGGCGAAGGAAAGCAAAGCAGGATTCGTTCCATCACCGAAGAGATACCGTTCCTGCCCTGGTCTCACAGCATTGGCACGAGCAACCCAACGTCAGGGGTTCCCCAAGGAAATGCTGGGTTTCCCGGGGGAACGGAAGCACCCTAACCGAGCACGGGGGGGGATTCTCGCGGAGGAAGGGAGGTGGGGAAGAGTGGAAGGCAGGAGTCGGAACCAGGAACCGCGGTGCAGCGGGTGGGTCTCCCACAGGGACTCCGAAGCTGCCAGCGGGCGAGCGGCGGCGAGGCTGCCGGGGCCGAGGCGGGTCTCACCCTCACCATTTGCGTGGGCAGCGAGCTCAGTTGCTCCAGCATGGCTGGCTGAGGCGGGCAGCAGAATGCTGGCGTCCGGCAGCGAGGCGA